GCAACCTCCAACTCCTGGGCTCAAGCAAGTCTCCTGCCTCAGCCTCCCAAGTAGCTGGGACCACAGGCGCCCACCACAACGCCTGGCTATTTTTTGGTTGCTGTAGTCATTGTTTGGTGGGCCCGGCTGTATTCGAACCCGCCAGCTCAGGTGTATGTGGCTGGCGCCTTAGCCGCTTGAGCCACAGGCGCTGAGCCTATGCTTTCTTTTTTAAGGATTTTTTTTTGAGTCTCACTTTGTCATTCTTGGTAGAGCGCTATAGCATCATACCTCACAGCCTTCAACTCTTGGGGTCAAGTGATTCTCTTACCTCAGCCTCTCAAGTAGCTGGGACTATAGGCACCCACCACAATACTTGTCTCACTGTTGCTCAGGCTGGTAATTGAACTCTTGAGCTTAGGTAATCCACTCGCCTCAGCCTCCCAGAGTGCTAGGATTATAGGTGTGAGCCACCGCGTCCGGCCTTTTTTAAGAACTTTAAAAAGTAATGCATAGTTATTGAAAATCGGAGTATTACAGAAACAAATCTACACACACTGTGTTTTTTATAATCCCACTGCAGAGATAACCATGTGGCTGTTGGGCGTGCCGCCTCTAAGGTATTTCTTTCCATAGAATGGACCTGCTAGGTCAGGTGGGGTCAGGCTGGGCCTTCTGGAGCAGCTGCCTTACCATAGTAGTGGAGGGCTGGACAGGGAAGGTGCAGCTGGAGGCGGTGGTGTGGGGGCTTTGGCCCAGCCTAGCTCTGCAGATCAGGCCTTCCCTTGAAAGATTGGGGTATTGCAGTGCGCCCCAACCCTTGTCTTGAGCCTGCCCTCAGTGTGGCGGAAATGCCTCAGTGGGACCAGGGGGCAAGAAAAGGAGGCAGGTAAACCAGAGATGTCTTGTTCCTTCCACCGCAACTTACGTGTTCACAAGTGGAGCTGAGCCTCTGCCTAGTGGGCAGTATCCTGTCCTTCCCTTCTGGGATCAGCCAGTGGGAGCTCTTCCACCCACAGAGGAAGCCTGGGATGAAGGGGTCCTAAGGAGGCAGATTCTGTACCACACTTTCTGCCCTTCTCCAGACTCCTGGGAGGGGCCAGGTTGCAGCCTTAGAGGATCTGGATGGCCCGGCTAGCCTGGGCCTACTGCCCTACTGCCCCAGATCTCAGGCATCCTGGGAGCCAGTGCTCTGGGCGGGCAGTAGGCCAGGGCCAGGCATGCTGTCCTTGGGGCTGATAGGCACACAGCCTGGGCCTGCTGCCAGGAGCTTTTGGATGCCAGGCAGTGTCCTCATCCCAGCCTAGTCTGGCTTGTGCCTGGGTGGGGCACCAGCCCTTGGGCCAGCCCTAGAGCCATGTTCCTGGTTTCTTGGAACTCCCCAGGCAGGGGCCTTTTGGAGTGGGTGCTTGCTGCTGTCATGTCCCACAGTGAGTGGGCAGGGCGCAGTTCTCCTGCTGTTGTCATTTGGGTTGGGAAGAGCAGAGCAGTACTTCAGAGCAGGGTAGTGTGGGGATCCCCTCTCATGGGGTGAGGATCCATCGCTACTCACCGACATGGTGGTGGCCAAGACTTGGCCTAGCCTGGGTGTAGTTGTCAGGGAGGATACAGGGAGGCCAGCCCTGCCCTGTCCTGCTTAGTGTCACATCTGACCCAGCCCAGGGCTCGCCCTTCCTTGGCTGAGAAGGAGACATTGGTCCTTGACTGGTGAAGTGCCTGGCAGGGCGGAACAGTGGGGACCCATGGTGGTTGTTCCTGCTCTGTGGCACTTCAGTGCACAGAAAGTCCTTTTCTGCCACCCACTTCCTGCGCAGGGTGTGGTAGCTGGCCTGACCTTGGACAAGGGCGGGTGACCCCCTAGCTACAGGGTCTGGCAGGTGGTCTGCTGGCCGAGGTGATGGGGTGATGGCACAGGGTTTCGTGCTGGGTGTCTGGTCAGTAACAGTGTGCTGTGCTGCCACGGCTACCTGGCTGGTCATCAGTGGCCTCTGCTTCCCTTCTAAGGCTGACAGAGCTGTCCATGGCTGTAGGCCGGCTTTAGCCCTCACTCAACACTCAACACGGATGATCTTAGGCTTCTGTACCTACAGAGCTGGTTCTGCTGCCCTCTGGGCCTTTGGTGGGATCCTGGGCAGATCATGTGCCCCTCCCCTGGGGACCCCCTCCAAGAGAGGAGCTGGTGCTCTAGGGGCTGGAGAGACAGCTGACAGGCTGAAGCCAGGCCTCCCAGCCACAGGCCGGCACCCGGGTCTGGTCACATTCCTGTAGGACCTGCTGAGCCTCCCTGGCCTGAGGGTAGAGGGTGGAGTGGGGGAAGGGCAGGCAGGGACGGGCTCCGGCTGCTGCAGGCCCCCTTCCCCACCCCTGGCTCCATTCCAACGGAGCTCAGCTGGCCCCTGCTGGGTGCCAGGCCCAGAACCTCCAGGTCCTCCTGCAGCAGGACCAAAGCGCTGACAGAGGGAGCCTGCCCTCATCTGGCTGCAGCTGCCAGCAGCTTAGGTGGGTTGGTATTTGAAAGGCGAAGCCCGCAGCTTGGGCAAGCCCTTAGGCAGTGAAGCCTCTTGCTGGAGAGGCAAGGCCCTGTGGTCAGGCCAGGCCAGGCTAGAGGGGGCTGGGCCCTGCTGGCAGGGAGGGGTAAGAGCAGATCCTAGAGGGCTGAGGCAGGGGAGCCAGAAGCGGTTGGGACTGGTTCTTATAAATAGCCCTTGCACAAGTGGCTCCAATTTTGACCTTTTGTTATGTAAATGTGGGCAGCCTGGGAAGGGCCTTGCCCAGGCCTCCTGCCACTCACTGCCCTGCCTGCCAGGAATTGTGTGCCTGCCACCAGCAGCCCCAGGCCTAGTTAGTCCCTGGGGTGTCCTAAATCTCCTGTGTGTGTGTGTGTGTGTAAGGGGGAAGGTTTAGTGTCCACTCAGCTACCCAGGCCTGCTCCTGTCTTTACCTTCCCCTTGCCGTCTTTGGAGCACTGTGACCACTGTCTCTGTGGGCTGCCCTAAGTGCCAAGCCTTTTTGGAAATGAGGGCCCCATTCCCTCCCTCACTGACATCTCTCTAGGTGACCCTGTCTGTCCTCTCTCCAGGTGACCAGGCATTGATGCACCCCCAGGAAGGCCACGCACTCAAGGAGGCTGCCCCCGCTGGCTGCTGCTCACATGGTGTCTGGGCCCCTGGCACTCCGGTAGGCTGTTGGAGAGGTGTGGGGGATGGGGGACCACTGTCCACGCCTTCTCCCCAGGGCTCTCTAAGTGGTACACACAGCCCAGCAGCTGTCCTTCAATTATCCTGTCCTATAATCCTTTGTATGTGCACAGCACTGGACAGAGTGGAGAGAGCCTGGGGCCCACTGCCCTTCACTCATCCCCTTGCTGGGCTCTGGGTACCAGGTGTCCTGGGTGCTAGCAGAGCTGGCACTGGTGTTTCCCTGGGGCTGGGTGTCCAGGGCCCATTGTGGAAGCCACACCTTGGGCTTTTTATCCTTGTCTGGCTGGCTCTACGGGGGAGAGAGTGGAAGAGGATTGGTTCCCAAAGTCTCCAGCCTCTGAACACCCCCTGCAGGTGCTGAGTGCTAGAGTCCAAGGGCCATATTGCACCTTGTGTGTTCACTCTGAGCTCTGAGGCCTTCGGGGTGCCTGTGTTGGGAAGAATGTTTCTGTCCTGGGAAGAAAGGATAGGGTGGGACCTTTTCTAGGGCTCTATCCCCCTGGGAGGCAGGGCTGGCTGTTCTGGGAGAGGCAGGAGATCCTAGTGGGGGAGGATCAGAGTGGCTGGGTTGTTTACAGAGCTTGGACCCTGAACTGCATGGAGCAGAGCTCCCTGTAGTCCCTGCTCCTGTCTCCACTGGCCTCCTGCCCTGTGGAATCCTGTGGGGCCACCTGGACACCATCTGCCTTCTCTAGTCCTGGCTCGGCGCCCTTTTCTGCTAAGCTGCTCTCCAGTGCTCTGGCAGGGGTGCAGATGGAGCTGGATGCTGTTTCTTGTAATTGGGAGCTAAACTTGGGGTGGAGGATGGCTTTGAGTGCCGTCCCGGGCACTGCTGGCTGTGGTCCTTCCTCTTCCCTTGCATTTCCTACCTCAGTGTCCATGCCCTGCCCTTGCTCTCCCCACTGAAAATAGGATCGCTCTGCTCCTTGGGATGCATGGTCAGGAGCAGCAAGTCCTTGGAGCCCCACTTGCACTCCGCTGTACCAGGGGACCAGCACGCCTGTGGGCTTGTTGCTTCTTTTTTTTTTTTGGAGAGAGTCTCACTTTGTCATCCTTAGTAGAGTGCCATGGCGCCACAGCTCACAGCAACCTCAAACTCTTAGGCTAAAGTGATTCTATTGTCTCAGCCTCCTGAGTAGCTGGAACTACAGGTCCCTGCCACAACACTGGGCTATTTTTAGAGACAGGGTCTCTTGCTTGGGCCAGTTTGGAACTTGTGAGTTCAAGCAATCCACCTGCCTCGGCCTCCCAGAGTGCTGGGATTATAGGCGTGAGCCATCGCACCCAACTGCTTGTTGCTTCATGACCATAGTCAGCCTCTCGTTTGGTGGAGGCCAGCTAGCCATCTTACCCAGCTACACATGGCGTTGCCCTTCCTAGAAAGGACATAGGGTCCAGGTGGTGCCAGTGGGTTGGCACCTGGAGGTCCAGGCTGGAGAGGTGCTTGGTGCCCACACAGAGGTGAAGGGGAAGAGCAGGCTGTAGGAAGGGGGTGGCCTGGGACAGGCAGGCTGCGACCTCTGGGAGGCATCACCACAACTTTTGGCTAATGCTAAAGCTTAGGCAGCCTCAGGTTGTCTGCAAGGCAGCATCGTGGAGTAAAGGCTAGCAGATGGTTTGATTTGGGCCATAAAGTATCTAAAAAAGCATCTTCATTTAGCATTTGAAGATTTCACATGAGAATTTAGATTTTTAGCTTGTCTAGAAAGCTGGGAAAATAGACTGCGCACAGACAGGAGTGGTCAGTTTACCCTAGGGGCTCTTGGTTCCTGGGTTGTATAAGCCAGTTGCTGGTCATTTTTGGGTCCCCTGCTGGTCCCTGTGGGTGTGTGATCAACTTCCTTAGTGCAGAGATGGTAGCTTGAGCTGTGAGGTCAAGTGTAAATCCCAGTGTCTCTACTTGGCACTCTCGTGGCGTTCAGCATCTGTTCTCTCATCTACACAGGTGGGATGAGGGCCTCTGTCCCTTCTTGGACAGCCTGAGTCCTCAGTGAGGTGATATGTGTATGGTACCTGCATGTGGCAGGCATGTAAGTTCCTCCCTGTGCACTATGCCTGGGGGGCTGTGTGTGGGGATCAGGTGCCGGGTGGAAGTTGCAGCCCCTCTGGGTGCCACATGAAGTCCCTCCCTGCCCCAGGGCCCCAGCACAATTGTTCTGGTGAACTAAAGTGTGGGTGCCTGTTTGCCCACAGGTGGTACGCGTGGGCAGGGCGCAGGGACATGGGGCCCGACATGGAGCTGCCCAGCCACTCAAAGCAGCTCCTGCTGCAGCTGAACCAGCAGAGGACCAAGGGCTTCCTGTGTGACGTCATCATCATGGTGGAGAACTCCATCTTCCGGGCCCATAAGAATGTCCTGGCTGCCAGCAGCATCTACTTCAAGTCCTTGGTCCTGCATGATAACCTCATCAACCTGGACACAGACATGGTCAGCTCCACAGTGTTCCAGCAGATCCTGGACTTTATCTACACGGGCAAGCTGCTACCCAGTGACCAGCCAGCCGAGCCCAACTTTAGCACTCTCCTCACTGCCGCCAGCTACCTCCAGCTGCCTGAGCTGGCAGCCCTCTGCCGCCGCAAACTTAAACGAGCTGGTAAGCCTTTCGGCTCTGGGCGGGTGGGAGCTGCTGGCATGGGGCGGCCCCCCCGCAGCCAGCGGCTATCCACTGCCTCTGTCATCCAGGCCCGATATCCCGGGCTTGCGGATGGGCGCAAAGGGGCCCACGCCCCCCAGGAGCTCCCCCAGGCCAAAGGCTCAGATGAGGGGCTCTTCCTGGAAGGTTCTAACCAGGAGAGCGTGCATGGCCTGGGCCGGGCTATCTGCCCAGCCAGTGGGGAGGCGGGACTGGGGGCCTGCAGTAGCAACACCAATGGGAGCAGCGGGGGCTGTGAGCAGGAGTTGGGCCTGGACCTGTCCAAGAAAAGCCCACCCCTGCCTCCTGCTACCCCTGGGCCCCACCTCACCCCCGACGACTCAGCCCAGCTTAGCGACAGTCAGCATGGCTCTCCCCCCTCGGCCTCTGCACCTCCTATTGCCAACAGTGCCTCTTACTCTGAGCTGGGGGGCACCCCTGATGAGCCCATGGATCTGGAAGGGACAGAGGACAACCATCTGAGCCTCCTGGAGGGGTCTGGCGGGCAGCCCCGGAAGAGCCTCCGGCACTCAGCCCGTAAGAAGGAGTGGAGCAAGAAGGAACCTGCAGCTGGCTCCCCCTTTGAGCGGAGAGAGGCGGGGCCCAAGGGTCCCTGCCCGGGGGATGAGGTCGAAGGGCTTGGGGACAGGGTTCCCAATGGCATCCTGGCCAGTGGGAGTGGCCCCAGTGGGCCATATGGCGAGCCCCCGTACTCCTGCAAGGAAGAGGAAGAGAACGGCAAGGATGGCAGCGAGGACAGCGGGCAGAGCGGGAGCGAGGCGGGCAGCGGCCATGCCGGCGCTCACTACCTGTTCCGGCAGGAGGGCTATGAGACAGTTCCCTACGGGGACAACCTGTATGTCTGCATCCCCTGCGCCAAGGGCTTCCCCAGTTCTGAGCAGCTCAACGCCCACGTAGAGACGCACACAGAGGAGGAGCTGTTCATCAAGGAGGAGGGCGCCTACGAGACCGGCAGCGGTGGCGCGGAGGAGGAGGCTGAGGACCTGTCAGCCCCCAGCTCAGCCTACGCAACCGAGCCCCGGCCCTTCAAGTGCTCCGTCTGTGAGAAGACCTACAAGGACCCCGCTACGCTGCGGCAGCATGAGAAGACGCACTGGCTGACGCGGCCCTTCCCCTGCAACATCTGTGGCAAGATGTTCACTCAGCGCGGCACAATGACGCGCCACATGCGGAGCCACCTGGGCCTGAAGCCCTTCGCCTGTGACGAGTGTGGCATGCGCTTCACGCGCCAGTACCGCCTCACGGAGCACATGCGCGTGCACTCAGGCGAGAAGCCCTACGAGTGCCAGCTGTGCGGGGGCAAGTTCACCCAGCAGCGCAACCTCATCAGCCACCTGCGCATGCACACCTCCCCCTCCTAGAAGCCAAAGACCCGGGGCGCCCCGCAGACTCGCCCATCGGGAACCCACAGGAGGAGGCCAAGGAGGCACAGCTGGAGGGGCAGGACCGGGCGGCAGGGCCTCACAAAGGCTCCTCCAGCTGACACCCAGAGCTTTAATCGACAGTCTGTACCAAGTGGAGCCGAGAGGAGGGAAGCCGACTACCTCCCCATCCCGCCCAGGCCCCCACTTCCTGCGATGGCCACCACAGGGTCTCTGGGCGTGGGTCATGTGGGTCTCTGGGACCTAGTCCCTTTGCTGCAGGCTGGCTTGGAGAAGGGAGAGCAGCTGTGCAGCTGAGGAGCAGGGCTGCCTGAGCCTGGGGCGGTGTTTGCGTGCGTGCACGTGTGCTTGTGCTGTGTCTGTGTGTGGCCTGCAGGCCCTGGCTCTGTGGGAAGCAGGTGCTGGGGGGGGGGAAGATCCCCCCCCTCCTTCAAGCCAGGGCACCACTGCTCACTGGCGCTGGGACAGTCAGGGTGACCCCACCGCCTACCTCTCTACAACTAAAGAGCCCTCTGGGCCTATGTTGCTGTTAATTCCTACTGATCTGTTCTTTTGTTTTTTTTAAACCAAAACAAACAATAGTATATTTTCTTCCTGGCCCCTTTGGGGCTGAGCCTGGTCTGCAGACTGAATGTAACAGGGGCAGCCGTCCCTCCTTGGTGTCCTCCGGCCCAGTGCTGTGGGGTGCATGGCGAGCCTGCCTCTCCAGGCCCCAGAAGCCCTTCTTGCCCAAAGGCTTCCTTGGTCCCCAAGCCCTGCCTCTGCTGCCTCAGGAGAGAAAATGCTTTTCCTATAGTTTCTAAGGAATATTCTTTGTTTGGAGGTACTTGTTTTTTAAGAGAAAAACCAGTGTAACGTTTATGTGACTGTTTGAACTGGAAGGTCTGGGATTCCGGGGGTGGGGGGAGGCCAGGACGGTCGGTACTCTCGTTTTCATTCTCCGTGAGCGTGAGTGTGTGTTTGTATGTTTGTGTATGTGGTGTGCGCCGTGTGTGTGAACAGATGTTTCACTTTTCCGCCTTCCTCACTGAACAAGGTAGAGAGACTTCTGACCTTTTGCTACCTCTTGAATTTCATGACAACAATTCACTGGTGACTGGCAGTTGAGGCCTTGACACTTTTGTTTTCCTGATTCGTGTGCCCAGGAAGCCGTTTATGGGAGCTAGCCAGGCTCAGGCTGGTCCAGGCAGCCCTCCTGGGCCCCGATACCCAAAGGGACACCTGCAGCTCATATGTGCTTTTCCCTGTGAGCATCTGGGCAGGGGGTAAGGGGTATGAGCCCCCAACATGAGGCCAGGTACCAGGCACTGAGGACAGAGCAGCCACGATGGGGGCCAGATGTTTGCAGTCCCTTGTCAGGGCTACGATGAGGTAGAAGTGAGCCCCCCCATCCTGACCACCCCCCCAGTGCCTGCAAGAGGCTGAGCTTGAGAAGGCATCAGCCTAGTCTGGTCAGGGAGAGAGGTGGGAGGAGCCACTGGGGCCACATTACCCCCTGGGGAATGGGATTGGCACCTCTTTGAGCAGTCTGGAAGAGGCTGGGCACCACCTATGGGCTCAGGGTCCCACTTCTACTCCAGCCTCACATTCTGTGGGCCAAGATCTGGGCTCACAAGGCTGTGAGCTGTGCTCAGTCCTATTGTCCTTGGCCATTTGGAACCCCAGGGCCCAGGCTAGCAGGCTTTAGCCTCTTCATTTTTGCTTCATGCTTTTCTTTCTTTTGTTTTTCATTCTATTTTAATTTTAGACCAAAAAATTCCAGAGTCATCCCCTACCCTCACCCCTCCAAGAGACCCTCCAGCTGAAACAGAGCCTGAGTTCAGGGACTGAGTGGTGAGCAGGAGTTTTGGGAGTGAGGGAGCTTGGGCCACTTCAAAGCTCCTGGTTGAGCCCCCCATGTGGCCACCCCATCCCTGACTTAGCCACTCTTCCCTTTGGGTGGGAAAGGGAGTGCTGGACCCCAGATCTTGAGTTCCAGCAAGTCAGGCTAGGGACCTGGTGGAGGAGACCCCCGGGCTATACCCCCCTAGTAAGGAGCAAGGTATTCCAGGCCTCTGTTCTCCCAACCCCACCCCGTTCCATCAGCACTTAAGCCACACGACACAAAGTCTGTACCGCACGGGACTGTACACGTGCCTCACGTGTGCGGCCTTCCGGGCTGTGGGCAGCCACATATGTGAGGTGACTCGTGAAAGTAGGTGATTCCTTTGCAGAACTTCAGGGACTGGGAGCAAAGGCCCCCTCACTCAACGATGTTTGTGCGACATAGTATTGTACCCACCTTAGTATTGTATCGAGCCTTTTCTGTATTTTAATGAGAAAGCAAAACACTAGTTTCCTATTTAAGATTTTAAGGGTTTGTGGGGTGGGATGGGGCTAACACAACACCATTTTGTTTTCTGTTCCTTTGATTCCGTGTCGAGCATGCTTGGGAGTGTGTGTGTGCAGATGTCAAGAGCCTCACGAGAAAATTGGGCCATTAGAGTCCAAGATGGCTTACAGTTCTCTGCTTTAGTCACTTAATTCCTGAATGTTTCGGAGAAACAGGAAACAGAAAATAGCAGATGTCATGTAGGAAAGATAAACAAAGAAGGAAAAAAGAAAAAAAAAGCTCATACCCAAATTCACAAAACCTATTTTTTAAACCAAAGCACATTTTGAATGAGTATGGAACCTCAGTGGGCTCAGAAAAAGATACTAATATATTTATCTCATTGTTTACATAAGCTTTTACAGTTTCAGACCTCAGCAGCTATGAGGCCAGTCCCAGGGAATCCTCACCTCCTGCTGGATACCCTTCCGAGTTGCCCTGGAGTGGCTCACGGACAGAGAGGCAACCCTGGGGGGCTGGGGAAGGGGCTAGAAGCCTCCCTGGGTTCACCTGAGCCCTCATCCCCATTCCCAGGGCCTCTCCAAGCCCAGCTGGCACCAAAGAGCTTGGGCCCGTGCTGACCAGCCTCCAAGGCCTCCTGGCTGGACCACAGTGGTCCTGGCCAGCTGGTGTACTGGGAGTGGCTGTCAGTTCTGGCCACAGGACCTGAGTCTGGGCTTGGGTCCCCGCACTGCTCTGCCCGTGACCCTCAGGGTGGGTTGATGTGAGGGTCCCACTCAAGCCAAAAAGCCGGGATCTTTGCACAGCTCAGGCGACTCTGGGGGGGAGGGGGTCCCCTCCTCCTGGGGATTCCCCTTCCCCATCCCCATCCTAGGCAACAGAAGGTGCTGACTGGGTCTGGTTCTTACCAACACAGACGGTGCAAACACTCTTAACAGTGTTGTTTTTGTATCAAGATGTTTGTGCAGTGATGAATGTATTTATTTCTCAGACTTGGGGCGAGCAAGCGGCAGGCCAGGCTCCGCCACCGCACGTTCCCACCCGACCGGGCCCTGGCAAGGGCTCCTCCAGGATTGCAAAAAAGGAAAAAAAGAAAAGATGAACCTTTAAGCAAATAAGAATCTCAGAGACTCGCAGCATAGCCATACACCTCAGCCTGTGAAATGAACAGTCCGAACCCACGCTGACTTCTCCCACCTCACTCAGCTGTGTGCATTTCCCGTTCGTCACCACTTGGGGGCGCTGGGCCGCCTGCCCGCTCCCCCACCCGTCAGTATTCACTGGTCCTCAGGCCTCTGTGCAGGAGTGCGATCTGGGCTGGGCCGGGGCAGGCGGACCCCACCTGTTCTCTCTGGCTGTCCTGAGTCAGGCAGGGCCTGGTCAGCCTCAAGGGCAGGGCTCAGGGAGTGGGAGGCTGCATCCGTCCAACCCCTAGGTTTGGGGGACAGAAGCCAAAGGCGCCAGGCCTTACAAGATCAGAAAAGGGCTCTCTCTGCCCTGCAGTGCTCCCCCCACCCCCACATGAAAGGACCAGGGTCCTCCTATTCCCCACAATCACGTTGGGGCAGACCTTGAACCTGTGAATTGGATGCTGGGAGTTAGGGGATGGGAAGACCTAACCAGAGCCTCAGTCTGACATTCCAAGCTGGGAGTGGGTGTAAGCTGCGGGAATTGAGGCTGCCCAGGACCTCCTTCCTCAGATGCCCCAGCTTCAGTCACCCCACTTTAATTTTCTATCAGGAACCTCTCCCCCTACCTCACCTTGCTATTTATTGCTATAATTTATTGACCTCAAAAATGCTGCATAACAGACCTCACTTGGGCAGGGAGGTTCCCCAGGGCTCCCCCCTCCACTTGGCGGGACCCCATGGGGCCAGGTGCTGAGGGGAGCCTCTCTGTCCCCCACCCATCACTAGCTTCCCCCCACTTCCCCGGGGGAGCCCCTGGTTGGGCACTGGCTCATTCTTACAAATACCTCGAGGGGGAGGGGGGAGGGGGGTTATAACTGTTTTGTTTAATTGGAACTGTAAGAGGGATCATGTCCTGTTTTACACCCTTCTCAGAAAAGGGGAAGGGTACCAGGATCGCACTCCTGTACTGGCCACTGTCACTCGTCACATTTTGGATAATTCAGGTCAGAGCTGCAGGCACGCAGCCATCCAGTGTCGTAAGAAAGGCGACTCACCATGACTGACCTCTCCACTCAGAAGCGTGCAGTCTTAATGTACAGCGATGAGAAACTGTTATTTTATGATCTTTTCATTAAAAGCTTGGTTGAAAACTAGCAAAGGCCTCTGTGTTCTGCTGTGGCTGTTCTGTAGCAAGGTGACAAATGGCTTCCAAGTCCTTGGAGGGTGGGATCTTGGGTGGGGGCCTGGCTGCTACCTCCCAGCTGTGCTCGGTGGTGGTGGTAGGTCCCAGGGTTGGATCCCAAGCCAGGAAACCAGCACTTTGGTTGGCCTCTTGGGCATCCTTGGCTGAGATGGCTGACGCCATCCAGGAAGCAGTGATGCAGAAATAGTTGACAGTGGGCAAGGACCTGGTGACTGGGATAGGAGAGGTCTGCCTTCTGCTCACTGTCCCTTCCTGTTGTCTGGCCTGAGGGAGGAAGGGAAAGGAGATGGTACCTCTCCAGGGGTCACTTGGGTGGGAATTCCAAAAGAGTGAAGACCTGGGAGGAAGAGCAGGGATTAAGGGTGACTGGGCCTGCAGACATCCCTCGTGGCTCCTGGCAGCAGCATAGGAACCCGTGACCCTGCTTGGTCACTGCTAATCTAAATAGTGGTGCATTCTGCTCAATTGTTTTAAATTGTGGTTTTATCAAGGTGCTTCCTGAATATAATTTAAATAATCAAATAGTTCTTTAAAAGGCTTAAAGGCTCGGTGCCTATAGCTCAGTGAGCTGGGTGCCAGCCACATGCACCAGGCTGCTGGGTTATATGTGGCCAGTGCCTTAAAACAAA